TTGAATTTAGAGTTGTCCTAGACCAGTTGCCATCCAATGCTATAGAACCCAGTCTGTTCTGCTATTTACCCATAGCTGGAGGGAGAAGAAGATTCATATGTTTTCCAAGGGTATTAACACGTAAGTGAATGCAATCGATTCGACTAAAATTCGAACTCGGATCTCCGATTCCTCAATCCAAGCCGCTATCTATTACTCCATTATTATATACGTATACGTGGGAGTGGTGCTGAAATATCCTCGTTTTGGTACTGCGGTGTTCTGATATTTGGCCATTAAAATACAAATATATTAATTTCGGGAAGTGTGTCTGACTGAGAATATTTTTATTAGCCCAATTAACAAAAATGTCTAATAGAAGGGGAGGGAGAATTTTTTATTTATTTATTTATTTAGTATTCAGGATTTATTCAGGTTTATTAACTTTTCCCCACGGTACAAACAAGAAATAAAATCATTAGTGTAAGTCTTGGTTTGTATGTTTTTACAACTCCATTGTTAAAAAAAACAAAGAAAAAAAAAACAAAGTCTTTTTCCATTGTTCTTTTTTCATTCTTTCTAGAAAGTCCCATTCGTCGATAAACATTTTCCAAATGTTAAAAATAAACTTTACTTATATTTAAATTTTCTTTATCCTTTCAATCATTTTCTAACCCCACCTTTATTAATAATTCAATAACCTCAATCATCAAAATCTATATTTGTATCAAGAGTGTTTTCAAACACACACACACGTATATGTGTGTGTGTGTGTGTGTGTGTGTGTGTGTGTGTGTGTGTGACGTGGCCTCCTCTGTCTCTTCTACAAGTATTTTCATGGCAACTGTTCCGACGAGCTACTTTCGCTTGTTTCCGGACTGCATGAATCTAAGCGAGTTACCAGGCTGTCAAAGACGATGGACATACTCTATTTTAGGAATACGTTTTCACAACATCGCCCACGTGACACCGACGTGATCATATTGAAACGGAACGCTGATCTTGAAAAATTTCAGTTGTCTGTTTTGATTAGTCTTACTCTTATGTCCATCGTCTTTTCATGTTGAATTAAATATAGTCTAATGTTAATTATGTTTTATGAATATGTCCTGAAGATGGTCTACTAGACCGAAACGTCCGACGTTGACATTATATTAACATTAAAACAGCATAATTGCATATTAGGATTTTTTGTTTGTTTTTTTCCGTATATTTTTTTCTTCATATATATATATATATATATATATATATATATATAGTTTTATTGAATACGACCGATATAACAATACGACTAATTTTTTTTAATTATATTTGTCTTGCATTCGTACAAGTATTTTCTTTTTCTGGACATAATAGAACACGGCCAGAGTCACGTCTAGGGAGGTAGACACACCCGACCCCGTGTAGTAGGGGGTCTACGGAGAATTTTTGACCGAGTCTACGGGCTCGGAATAGCCTCATATAAAAATCGGCCTTGTGCTACATTCTGCCTTTTGGAGAGGTTGGTAAATACTATCAGCTCTCGAATGAATCAGGCAGTTCGTTTCCAGATTCGCGGCTGGCTTGTCGAACTGTCTGTCTTCGGACAAAAGGAACACAGTTGTGGCTCTGCCAAAGCTCTGGGTGGTAGACAAACCTGACCCGTGAATGGGGAATTTTTGCCCGAGCCTACGTACTGGAATCGCCCTACATAAAAAAACCGGCCCTATGACACATCCTGCTTTGTGGAGAGGCTTTAGTATACCCTCAGCTCTTGACAGGCAAACACTTTACACCCGTCACTCTGACACTTTACAAAATGGAGGTGTATATTATTACAAACCCGTTAATGTTCTCTTGGATGGATATTTGAATTGAATTATCATTAGTGAGCCTCAGCTTAAGTAGAGTTGCAAACGAAACACAACGACGAGATTGCTGGCCTCAACTTTACTATTTTCATCTTTTCACGTGGCTAACGCTGTCTTGCTTGTGTTTGGGATTTTGATCCACATACATCGTTTTCCTGATGACACCCAGTGGGAGGCTGGCTATTATTGTGCGCACAGAAGACCTGTCAGTTTTGGGAGACACTGGGATATTTTTAGTAACACCTATATTTCGTGTGTAAATAATCGATCTGTTTTCGACTTATTGCACATGAAGAAATATAATAAAGAATCTTTTCTCAGTATTGTGGTATATATATATATATATATATATATATATATATATATATATATATATATATATATATATATATATATATATATATATATATATATATATATATATATATATATATATATATATATATATATATATATATATATATATATATATATATATATATATGCGGGTATATATATATATATATATATATATATATATAGTTATGAAGGAGCGTCTGATTAGCAAAGTCGATTTTACTCCTTTTACTTGTTAATCAGACACTTCTTCGTAACTAAATTTGTATAGCACGTCAGACTGTCCCATGTATATATATATATATATATATATATATTTCGTCTGACTGAAACGTTGAAATGGATATATTCTGTATTACTTTATCGAGCGGCTTTTTTTTTATCTTTCATAGTTAAATTTTTTATTTTTGACAAAACCGAGGTTGATAAATAGACGACATATATTTTCACTATTTACATTATTCGACTATTGTCCTCATCTTTGTTGCCATATTTTTATAACGTTTCGGCCTTTCAGTATATTTCTGAGAGGAGGTATTATATACACTATTTACGTTATTCGACCATTGTCCTCATCTTTGTCGCCATATTTATTTCAACTTTTCGGCCGTTGTACGCCCTGCCTTCTTCAGGTGGTTGGAATGGGGAACTAAACCCTCCATTTCGCTCACTGGGGTAGACTGTTCTAGTTCCATGTGCCATGTTTAATGGATGTTAGTTATCAGTTATCTTCTGTTAATTCCCCTCTCCAAGTTCTCCACCGCCTTAACCGGGTATTGAACTCACACTCTTTGGGTCCTGACACTGGATCTAACCACCACCTTTATCCACTGTGCCATGTGTCCTTATAATAAATAAAGATGAGGACAATTATCCGAATAATGTAAATAGTGTACATAATATCTCATCTCAGAAAATATAGACAGTTACAGTATTTATATATGTATATTTATTTTACTTTATTGTAATTTACTTATTGCCTATATATGGCTTTCATTTCATTTTATTTTACCTTATCTTGTTATACTTTATCACGGCATATTTTATTATTACCAAAATCACTACTTTTTATATTTTTAGGATATTAATATTAATAGTATTATTAATTACTCTATTGAAGCCTGAATAATAGAGTTACCACCTTGATTTTTATAACATCAATTTTGTTGTTAAACCAGCGTCTCTCTAAATTAGAATTTATATTTCTTATTTCCAACATTATTTTCAATCTTAAATGTTGATCTGGTCCTAAATTCAAATTCAGAATTAAGTTACACCTTATTTAAATATTTAACTCCAATAACATTTCACCCCAACAATAATACACCTTTCGTGAAATAGAAATTTAAAAAAATCCGGTGTCAACGCAAAATATAAATAAAAATAAAAATAATAATTACAGGAATTGAAAATTGCGTCGGCATGAAACTCGGAGTTGTGCAATTAATGTAAGATATATATATATCTCCCTAAGAAGAGCACAACAGAATTCATTATCTCGACTACTCTTCCTCAAAGAACTTAATAACGTTAAACAAACACGAATCAACAACGGCTTCCCTAACCACCTTATAGACTACCAAATTAGACTATTTCTCCCAAAAGTAAGTAATAACGATAGTGAACACACAGCCAAAAATTACATACACATTTATTACAAAAACCAAATGCATGTTAATTACAAACAAGACGAATCTTCTCTAAGGCATATTATAAAGAAATATACTACTCCAATTGATCCGAATAAAAAAATCAAATTAATTATCTATTATAAAAAATTAAGACAGCTAAACTTATACTCAAAAATAACAATACACCAGTTAAGTCAAAATTACAAAGAACGAACATTATCTATGAGTCCAAATGTCCCTTAAGGAACTGTGTTCCTGATCAAACCGGACTCATAAATAATTACATCGGTTACACAACTACATGCTTATCCAGACGTCTTACATTACACCTATCTGATCACAGCTCCATTGGAACTCATTTAAATCCACACAAAAACTTACCAGACTCCATTAGAAACATACTAGTAGAAAACACAAATATATTAACTGCATCCACTTGTAAAAAAAAAAAAAAAGATTAAAAATAATGGAAGCTCTAATAATAAAAAAGAAAAAGTCAACTCTTAACAATATTAACTATGAACAAAGCCACAATGTGCTAACCGTATTCGGAAATTAAAAACATCACTACCACACACTGATACATACACAGAACGCACACACTCAACTAAGCTGAAAATCGAATAATCCTTGATAATGGCTAAAGGTATAGCCGAAAGCGCTCGGAAATATAAAACATTTGGACAGTTCTTACACACCCTTTGTCCAGAAAAGAAAGCTCTTGTTAGAACACAAGAAAAATTAAATTAAAAACAATGCTTAACCGTAGTACCTTGTTTGTCGTTTTTAATGAAACATGCATATATATATATATATATATATATATATATATATATATATATATATATATAAAATCATTGTAAAAATGTAATTTTACTGAACGAGACATTATAACTATATTTCAAATACAAGACTGACTGCTATTCAAAGAGAGCCAATCGAACGGCCACTATAATTCCCTGCTATCTGACATGCGCTGAGACTAGAATATCTGTTATGCAGAGGTCACTCGCCCAGTTTCCAAATTTCGTTCACTGCATCTCGGAAATTCCCTTGCAAGAAGCGAGAAAACGTATTTAACTTGAGACAAAATACAGCAGCGACCATTTTTTTTTGGGTGGGGTAGGATTTGTTATCGATTCAACAGTTCAACTCTGTCCATTAATGGACACTTTTAAAAGTACGTGTAGATATAAGATTATAGATGCATGCGGCGAAATGGGTGCTGTTATTCGTTCACGTAACAGTGCATTTTCTGAACATGTTTATGACTCGATCGATCTTTGTCCGCTGAGAAATGGGAGATGAGACAGAAGTTGTAGGAAGATGTATCAGCCTACATCAAATTTGTTCCTATCTCGCTATGTAGCTCACTCTGTTCATCTATGTATATATATATATATATATATATATATATATATATATATATATATATATATATATATATATATATATATATATATATATGCCACCTATGTATTCTATCTATCTAGCAATCTAGCTACCTTGATCTGTTCGTATCTATCGTATTCATCTATCTATCTATCTATCTATCTATCTATCTATCTATCTATCTAGCAAGCTCAGGCTGTTCGTATCTATCTCTCTAGCTCAGGCTGTTCACCTATCTATCTATCTATCTATCTATCTATCTATCTATCTATCTATATATATATATATAGCTCTGTTCGTATCTATCAAACTATCTAGCTAGCTGGTCTGTTCGTACATAATCTATCTATCTATCTATCTATACTGTTCGTATCTATCTTTCTATTTAACTATCTTATATCAATATGTTCGTATCTCTCTCTCTCTCTCTCTATATATATATATATATATATATATATATATATCGATTTTCACTCTGTTCGTTTTTAACTATCTAGGTAGCAAGCTAGCCTAGTCTCTTCGTATCTATGTATCTATCTATCTATGTAGCTTAGTCTGTTCTTATCTATCTATCTATCTATCTATCTATCTATCTATCTATCTATCTATCTATCTATCTTTTTAGCTCCGTCTCTTCGTCTATCTATCTATCTATCTATCTATCTATCTATCTATCTATCTATTCATCTATCTTTTTTTATCTGTCTCTTCGTCTATCTATCTATCTATCTATCTATTCATTCATCTATCTATCTATCTATCTCAGTGCGTTCGCGTCTCTATCAGCGAGATGTAAGTGCAAGTGCTGTGCATTCTCGCTCCGATCGCTTAAGACTATCTATTTGTTCGTTTTGCAATAAAATTAATAGAAATTTACAGAAACGATTCATTGTAAAATAATTATCACTTTTTCATTAACGATGCCAACTCAACTCTTTTGTAAGACCGGAAAGAATATAAGAACATAATTAGAGTCTTCTAAATATTCGATCAAATTTTACACCCCCTCCCGAACATATTAATTACTCTTTCCATTATATATCTCAGCCTCTTCATCTATCTATCTATCTATCTATCTATCTATCTATCTATCTATCTATCTATGACTTTTCATATGTGTTTATCCAAGCCAGTTCCTATCTATCTATCTATCTATCTATCTATCTATCTATCTATCTATCTATCTATCTATCTATCTATCTATCTATCTATCTATCTTAAGCCAGTCTGTTTTTATGGAAGCATAAATCTGTAACAATAACATTCACACATATTTCTATATATTTCTATATTTATCCACGGTGTCTGTCACAAAGATGGATGATAAACAGGGGGAGGAAGATTTTGTTACGCCTATATTGGGAAATTTCGTCCACTGCATGCGTTGGTGCGATACATTTAACACTTTGTTTTTTACCAAAGATAAAATACATAATGGGGAGGGTGCATAGATATTTGGACTAAAAAGCAGTTATACACTTCCATGTTTTACTTTTCTTGAAAGCGCACGAGAGAAATACATACATACAAAATTATCTCTTTCTTTCTCTCTCTCTCTCTCTCTCTCTCTCTATCTATCTGTCTATCAAAAAAAATGTTTATAAAAAACTAGGTAATCCGTATGGGTAAACCTAAGGAGGATAACATCCGGAGAGCTCAATGTAAATCCAGAGCAAATAATTGAAATAAAAAAAGACCACTTTAAGGTTCCATGTAATAAATTATTTCACCACAGCCCTTTTAAAGGGACTGCGGATCATCAGACTTTACTTCCAAAAAAAAAGAAATTATTACATGGAACCTTAAAGTGGTCTGTTTTTTTAAATTAAATATATATATATATATATATATATATATATATATATATATATATATAGGATCAATGTGATATAAACCAAATAATTAGATATTAGCAACTGTGTATACGAGCGTTAGCGTGCATATGAAGGTAAGCGAATAAATATTTACTTAATTTAATATAAGGTGTGAACAATAGTTAGTGCCTGGTGAGTTGGTAGAACCAGGAAACTGGTTGTATATATATATATATATATATATATATATACATATATATATATATATATATATATATATATATATATACGTTATTTTTACAGATACAAATTTAAGTAAATACTGTTTATAATAAACAGTATTAAATAATATTTACCGGCCAATTATAAATAGAACATTTACTTAAATATTTTATCTATAAAATAACGTACAATATATATATATATATATATATATATATATATATATATATATATATATATATATATATATTAAGATAATTGTCGGAATTAGTCCATTTCATAATATATTAACACTACATTTGAATGATAATTCTAACATTTTTAGGCATTTAAAAACAACATGCCTGGCCGCATACACAATTCCAAAAACATCCTTGTTGAAAATACAATTATACTTTACGTGATACAATTATAACAGGAAAACAATATACAAAAACTAAAAATTCTTGAATCTATATACATAAAATAGTTGAAACCTAACCTGAACAAAATAAACTATGAAATCTCTACAAATATTCTTAAATGTCTATAATTGGTAACAGAAGTCATTGGTTTATACCAACAGCTTCCCATACTTAATACTTCTTGAATTCACTCTCGCGTGGTCATATGTGACGTCATGAGCTGCGGTGTGATTTTCGCTTCTAGCGTCTTATATGCACGTGTTTATCGTTGTCTTGGAAATCATCCATGTAAACAGAAACAGACTATCATCACTTTCTTGTCTGTGTATTGCTTAATATATTGTACTGTAATTGTCATCTTTGATAATGGCTTATGTAAGCCGAAAGCTTAGATTGGATTAAAAAAGTATGGATCAATATTGTGATTTTCTTTCTTCGTTTAATGATAATGTTATTAAGCTTATCAGACGTTATGAACGTTTACATAAAAACAAATAGACAACACTTGTCTATATTATTTAATGAAACATGTATATATATATATATATATATATATATATATATATATATATATATATATAATTATTTTTAAAAAAAAAATTATAACATAAATATGTTATAAAATCACTACAGAAATAGCTATTTTGTTTCAACACCCTCGGTGTCTTATCAAGTGATGGTGTTGAAGATAAAATAAATGGATTTAAAAGTTTCAAATTAATTAACGATCCTTCGCTAGGGGAAAACATTGTTACAAAAGCTACAATGACCAATCAAAATCCAAGTATAGGAAGATTCAAAAGCTTGACAACGAAATCATGTTATAATAGCTATTCAGATCTTTAAAATACGTGTAATATTAAAAAGAATTTATTCTAACCAATAATTATTAAATTATATGATAAAATTTGATATTAAAATTAAAAACTGCCAATTAAGAATAGTAATTGTTGTTTATTGGAATTCATTCCGTATACACCAATTATATACTTGATATATATATATATATATATATATATATATATATAGTGATAATAAGAAGTCAGAGATTTTAATTATCCATTTCAATTATAATTTATTTCGTGAACACCGAGATGTTCAACTCTTCAGACCGAAAACTCCTCTGGAAATGATAAGACGTATCGTATATTTACGATTATCCCTTCAAGTCAGAAACTGGTAAGACGTTTATTTATGCCACTACCAATCTAATGTGCGGGTCCGGTGTATTTTCTCCATTTATGGTCTGAAGAGTTGAACACCTCGGTGTTAACGAAATAAATTATAATTGAAATGGATAATTAAAGTCTCCGTCTTATCATTATAACGCTCCTTACATTGAACTCTCCCTGGATTTATATCCTCCTTGGAATTATCTCCTCCAAGTAACAAACTGGTAACACACACACACACACATCTATCTATCTATCTATTGTCATCCACAGACAGACTGTTTCGCTGTATCTCTAGTGGCTAGATGTCCGGCTAGGATCGAAACCCGACTGAAATGGCGTTAGTAGGTTACTCTACCACTAAGCCATAGGCGCACGGCAGTGATGAAGGTGAATTTAAGCGTATTTATTTTTTAAATAAACACACTGAGAGTGACTGAGAGAACTCGATTCGATTTACCGAAGAGTCTTGTATTATTAGCCGTAATAGTTACTGATTACAAATCCACACTTCCTACCCAGAAATAATTTTTTCAGGAATATACATTGTCATCCACAGACAGACTGTTCCGCTGTATCACAGTTCATCAGTGTGGCTCGATGTCCGGTTGCCTCGATCTAGGATCGAAACCTGACTTATATATATATATGAAGATTGCATAAGAAACTATCAGTGGTAGCCGGTCTGTTGTACATTGAATTCAAAATGTGTTTTTTTTTTAATTTTTATTGTATTTTTCCAATTTTTGAATAAGGCTTTCAGTATTTTGCTCGAAGTTGTGGATAAGCTGTCCAAATGTAATTTGTCAACGTTTTGTACAATTACTTTCGAACATCACAGTCATTTTCTTGAATCAAAATGGCGTCTGCGTGTCATTGATGAACAAATAAAATTAGCTTTAACGTAAATTAGAAAAATAACACCAGACTCCACCGTGAAGCAAACAAGGGGTGGGGTGTCTTGTATATTGTTAAGTTAACGGAACCACACGTACCTTAATTATAAACAGGATAAAAAAAACAATTAAAAAATAATTCGCCGATACTTGTTCACTAAATAATCCTTACAAACACTTCATCTACTATGGAAGTTTAAAATTTCTAAGAGTAATAAAAAAAAAAAAACCCAAAAAACAGCGTTACATTCTTACATCGGGCAGACATGCGTCTCGCTCTCTTGCAGATTGTGCTGTAACCGATCGAAACACAATGCAATCCGGGCATATATCGACCAGCACATCACGAATGACGAAAATACAACTACCAAACATATTTTGGATTATATCAAAATGCTTTATATACAACGAAAGGCCAGAAGCTAGTATTATATAAAATAAACAGCCCACATTTAATAATATATCATTCACCACTGGAGACACTATCTTAAAGTGCATATATATATATATATATATATATATATATATATATATATATATATATATATATATAGAGAGAGAGAGAGAGAGATAGAGATAGATAGATAGATAGATATCTTTTAAATTCACAGAATGCATATACCTACTCATAGAGAGCTTAACTCCCTGATGATGACGTCATGATGACGGAGATTGAAAGTACTTGGGAAAATAAAAAAAAAATATTTGAAATGTTAATAACATTTACGGCCTGAATGTTATTAATACTGTTTATTATAAACAGAGCATTTACATCAATATTTGTATCTATAATATATATATATAAAAACATAAACTGTTCTATAATAAATGTCTTTCATAATATATATATATATATATATATATATATATATATATATATATAATTTTGTTTTTTGTATATATATATATATATATATATATATATATATATATATATATATATATATATATAATTATACGTTTGTGATTGGAAGAGATAATTTTGAGGAGGATATACATCCAGGGAGAGCCCAATGTAGACTACAGATCATTACAATGATAAGAAGACGGAGACTTTAAATATCTGTTTCTTTTATAATTTTTTTTTTATGAACTCGGAGATGTTCAACCCACCATAACGAAATCTCCTTCGCAAATATACATACACATCTCTTTATATATATATATATATATATATATATATATATATATATATATATATATATATATATATATGTGTGTATTTAGCGCATTCCTTTTTGGTTAGTTGTATGGTTCTCAATAGTAGATAAACATGCCATCAGCGTAGATTTCAAACATTCAGCTTTCCCAAGAATACTAAAATGCAAAATTTTGCCTCCTACATATACGCCATATTGGTTCTTGGAAATGACGAAATTTCTTGAACTTAAAACACATGAACGTCGGACAGATTATCCAAATTTCGACTACAATACTCATAATCTCATTCGAAAATGATGAAACTTGACTAATGCATGGAATAATAATACAACACAAAATGTACTTAGAACAAAATGTATTGAAACAAGAAAGTGTACACAATATTTACATATAGTCTTTTGTATATTCTTGGGAAGACCGTTCCTGGAGAATGTGTTGACTTAGTCGCAGTCGGGCAGAGTCTCTGGATTGAATCTCTTGATTCCTCCCCTCGTCTTCCCGGTACCAACCATATTTATATGGTCGGTACTCCCTATGCAAATTAGGTGGATCCTAC